CGGTCATTTGATTTTATGAATTGTTTTTATTGAATGAATGATGTTTTCAAAGGGTAATAAAATTTACTGCCATCCCGTCAGGTAGCAGATGTTTGTGCGTAGAATGTTTGGCAGTTCAATTTATGATTTTTTGTATTTCAATCTTTAATAATTATTCTTTTAAAGTAAATAAAATAAAGTGCCAAACGAACGATTTGTTACCCCCGTCGGGTAGCGCATTCATGCGTAGAACGTTTTGCATTGTATATTATACCATATAATATGTTATTACTATTTTCATCGTTATAAATATTTTTTAAAAATTGTTATAAAAGCTAATTTCTCAAAGTTAAAAAGATATTCACATGATTATTCTGTTCTCATAATTTCAGCTTACATATTTGTTTCAGTAAAAGCAGTGAAAATATATTTACTTTGTTCTTTCTTAACCATTAGGTGTCATTCCAAATTGAATTCATACAGATATCAAAACATAATCAAGAGGCTAAACTCGATTACCCAATCAACATTCTTAATCTCCTGATATAACACCAAGGTGCTAATTAAGTGGTGAGATTAACAGAATTTATTCCCATAAAAGTTCAATATACAAGACCTACATTACTAATGTATGGACTATTCTCTTTCGTTCTAAATTATAACACCGAGAGAAATATCAAACAGAATTTAACAAATATATGGCGTGGTTGTTATGTGATTTTCTTTTAGAACATAACGATATCTTTAACTTGCTTTTCCTCAAACAACCTCAAACGGATATAGCTCAGTCAATTTTACAGTTTAAAAAAAGTTATCTTTTTAAATAAAGCAACCGAACTCCAGTTGCCTCGACACCAAAATATTTCCAATATGAACCCTGAATAGCTCAGTCAATTGTATAGTTTAATATCAGTTATCAGTTAAATGAAGCAATAAGCTGCAATCGCCTTCACACAGACAATTCTTGAAATGGTTGGGTTGACGTTTGAATTATATGTTTTTTATATTTTTTTTTTATCAGGAATCGGCTTGTAATATGTTGCAAATTTGAAGATACCAATAATAATGTACATGTATATAGATATTCACACGATTGTTCAGTGATCAGAATTTCAGCTTGTATGTATGCATTGGTTTGTGTATGAAATTCATTATTTCTGTTATTTACTATCAAATTATTTCTCAAATGTAAATAGATATTCACTCCAGAATTTCAGCTTGTATGTATGTATATGAAATTCATTATTTCTGTTATCTGCTATCATATTATCTGTTTCAATAAAATTAGTGAAAACAGATTTGTGTTGATCTTTTTTTTAACCATTAGTGGTGATTCCAAATTTAATCCATACAGAGATTCCAAATTTAATCCATACAGATATCAAAGTGCCGCAAGTCCCAGATCATGTGCCAATCCGCATGTTATATAACGAGAATAAATATAAATTGTAAATTAAATAACACTTCACATTGCTCCATATTCTGCAGACTATGGCGGTAATTGAAATCGCCGACAAATACTCCTAGTGTTGGCTGCCATCCATTATTGTTTAAAAACATTTCCCGATTCGAGAATATTAGTAAATAATTAATTAATAATTTATTCAGAATGTAGCGACGATACTCACTAACAATACTCGCCAGAAATTTATATAGTTAACGATTTCACGCTCTACTTGAGCCGGGTACCAGTTACTGATGCACATCAAAGATAACTGGCGGTTTCACTCTGATAGTGACGTAGACCTCAAATAGTGACGGTTTCTTAATTAGTCACGCTTTCGTCAATTTCTCCCGCACGCGCCTGACTAGTGATATGATCGGCTTAACTCACGTTTGTTTAATTACTCACGTTATTTTAACATACTGACGCAAGTAAGGAATACTAACCAACTGACTTAAATACTCACCTTATGATTATTACTGACCATTTAGAGGAATACTGACGTACGGTACACTTACTGACGGGTTTAAGCGACTACTGACAACACGTATATTTCTCACGAATTTCCATGAATAGTAACCACAATGAACCCTTCCAGGGTATGAAATAAGCCTCTTATATGGTAACCTCAAAATAGGTTACGCTAATCTGCATCAAATTTGAACTGGTAACCTATAGGTTACGATGCCATATTTGTTTAGAGCCGACCCTCGAATTAGCCTAGGGGGATTTGGGGCCAATTAAAAGATTAGCCAGCTACCCCTAAGCTTATTAAATCAGCAGGGCCCATATCCCTAAGTGAATTAGTGGATTATTGTTAATCCTAAAACTCTCTACAAAATTGCAAATAACTAAAAAAAATATTTTTTATACAAAAATGTACAGATTGTCGTGTTCTTTCCAATGATATAAAATTCAATTGTACAAATTAACAATTACCGGTATATTACTATAAATAATATTGAAAAGTCAGTTCCACTAAAATTATGACTTTTCTCTGTCATAATAAACGTGAACATGTATCTCCTAAGATTTTATTTTAAAAAAAAGAACAGTGTTCAAAGTTAATATAAATATATAACTTTAAGAAAGAAATATCGCCCCAAATGACCGTCACTTCATCGCTATGTGACATTTCTGCCTTTGTTGGATATATGGTGGGAATTGTCGTCTTCTTTGCTTTATGGAATCGAAAATAAAAATATATAGTTGAAATCTTCGGCAATGTAATATTCCTCTATGTAGCTTGTATTAAATCCTAAAAGTTTTGATTCAATTTAGCTTTCCAAACTTTAGAATTATTATCCGTAAGTTTTGTGGTATCGTCTGTCTGGAAACGTATCCAAGATATGGCGGCCGACACGCTTGATCTCGGCTGCTTCGCATCATTCATAACGTCCCCCAAAAATAACAAATAGTTGATTTCTTCGACATTAAATCATAAAAAATCTGATTCCATTTCACTTTCCATGTCATAAAATTATTAGCCGTGAGTGTGAGTGACAACGTGAAAATATTGGAATAATGCCAAAGTCATTGACACGGTGTGAATTTTCACCTCTGACCTATTACGTAAATACCGGAAGATCCATTGTTGAAAAGTATGTTTTTTATTTGATAATTTGCGAATATAACATTCCTTTTCATTGGGTGTTTTATTTTTATTACTCAATCACCATTAATTTAAGAAATAAAAACAATAGAAATCAGTTGATTGATCTGGAGCTTTCGTTCGCTAAATAGGCTAATGAGTATGACGTTGCCAGGTATGATGGGTCCGCGAGTTGATTTGCTACCGCCAAAATGACAGGTGCGAACTTAACGATCTTTCAGGCATTTATTTATAATTGTAAAATGTTTTAATGTAGAAGTGGAGGGAATATTTTAACTGAAACCTTTAGTTTATAAATTATAGCTCGGTGGTCGAAAACGGAAGTCCGTTCGCGTGTTTCCAGGTCATGGTAACCGATGCGTAACCTGAACGACCGTTCGCGTGTTATTTCGTACCCTGCCTTCCTACTTCATATATAGATATTCTAACACATAGGCCAGTTAGTCAATACTTAGAGATAGGTTCTACACACTATGCACACTATGTTATTTTTACATTTTTTACCTGATCAGTGGGGGTCCAGTTAATTGACTACTACTCAAGGGATTAGCGGGAGTGTTGCGCGCGTTGAACAGGTGCGTGTTTAGTAGGGGTTAATTTACTTAAAAATCGCTCTGGGGTATTTTTTGGTGCTCGTTGAAGCAAGTGTTTGCTGATTAGGAGTGCACGCACGAGCAAGTTCTACTGTAATGCTTTTTTGAAAAAAAATAACTGTGGTTGCTATGGTAACAACTCAAACTCCTTCATATTTTTCTCAAACTTACACAATCCATATAATTTGATATTGCATGGGTTTCAAATATTTTAAATTGCTTACTTTAAAATGTGGAGATCACCTAATGGGTTATGGTAAATAGCGTTGAAAATGTGTTTAACGTCCTACTGTTCTGCTCCTAACCTGGGCTAATGAAGACGGGCATATGCCACACAGTGTGCTATGAGGGAAATTTTGCCCGGACAGCGGCACTACGGCCTACTCTTATATCGAATTCCAACTGCCAAGGGATCTTTTACGTGCACGCCAATGTGTACACGGGACCTCGGTTTTTCGTCCCATCCGAACGACTAGACAGCTTTCCTTGTCAGCCCCTCCGTCCTGCATCACTAACAAGGGAGAACAACGCCGGAAAATCTGGATGAACTTTCTCGGCCAATGCAGGGATCGAACACCCGACCTCCAGGCTAGCGAGCTAGCGTCTTACCCACTTAGCCACGTGATCCCCGGTTGCTATGACAACTAAAATTAATAATATATGGCAGATTAGTAGTATGTAATTTTAAAAATTCACAAACTTTTTGGCATGTTCACATAATTTCACTTATGTATCTCTATTCCTTCTTATTTTAATTATGTCCAAAAAACGCCCCAAAAATAGGCAATTTGCTCCCGCGGAAAATTGTTCAAAAATGAACACATGAATATTTCTTCTCTTTTTTTTTCCTGTTAATCTTAATTGATAGCTACTGATTTTAAAATGCATAACAACCCGGTTCAATATTTCAGATATAACATGGACAAGACAATTTTTGATGAAAAAATTGACCAAAATCACTTTGACAAAATATAATTTTTGAGAAAACCTATGTATTTTGGAGTTGCTTGGGAAATCAGAGTAATTGTTACAAAAATGTGAAAATCGGAACATAATTAGCCCTAAAGTTGTATTTCATGAATTTACATCTACATTTTTGATAGGTTTGCTATGAAATGAAATATGACATTGTAAAGGCGTTGAAAAACCTTTCTTCCACGAAAAGTCAAAAATTGCAACTTTAAGCCTCCATAAAAAAAAAATTTTCATCCGATTTTGAATCTGTTAAAAGTTTTGGGAGAAGAATGATGAGATCTACTTGAAAAACTAATAAAATCAAATGTATAATCATAATCTCAAAATCACCTTTTCCACCTAATTAAACTGTACAAATTATACCTATTTCTGAGTTAAAGTGCTCTATGTTACATACCTTGTACTACACCATCCATTACTGCTAATGTCGATTCATTGATTTGTTGTCCAATAACATGTGTACTACCAATATTATCAACAGTTTCACTCGATTCTCCTACAGTACTAACACTAGCCATATGTATTTTAACACCTTCATCTGAACATAAACTAGAATCATCTGATACACTTACACATTCTTCTTTAGTAACGCCTTTTTCCGATATAAATACATTCATTTGTGATGAATAAACTTTATGGTTTTCTTCATCTTTAACTCGAGCCGATACATGTATATTAGTTGGTGTCCCATTAACTAAATCGAAATCTACATCTACTTCTGGTAATGGCGATCGCCAAAATTGAAAAGAATTAAAAGACTCTAAATTATCTAAATGTATATGCACTGGTTCGTATTGTGAATTGTTTTCATTTAAACATTTATCATCAAAAACTGAAAAAGTATCCGGATTAGTTTCTCTACATATATCACTATTTTCACCTTCATCACCTTTATATGTCATACTATTGACTTTTGATTGTTTAGTATATTCTTCTAAACGCTGTTCCTCAAATGACTGCAGGCTACACTCGGCAAGTGACTCTTTTTTATCATAATCTATTATTTCCATATTTTCTATTTTATAAATTTTACTTTCTATATTAACACCATGATCACTATCTTCAACTTGTTGCTTTTTCTTGTCTTCAGTCTGTAATTTCTCTTGAAGATCTGTCACTAATTCTTCTTCTACCTCACTGTTAGAAAGATAAACCAACCTGGATTTTTAATAAAATAGTCTGTTCTTTATTTTTAAGTTATTACAACATCCATCTAGGTAATGATAAATATACCAACCAGCAGTTGCCAGGCAAGATACGCCCACATTTTGCAAGAGATGGCTAGAGAACAAGCTAACAAAAAGATGGGCTGACAGGCAACCAAACATACGCCCACAGCAGCTAATTTGTCTGGGTAGTCAACAAGTGTTGTCGCAAATTTTTACTTTTGTCGGTAATGAAACATTTATAATACACTAAAATCTGATTAAGAGCAACAACTCATTAAGAACCGGTATTATCAGAAAATCATTAGAATTTGTTTGTCCAATATATAGGCATAAACACAGTGTATAAATATAAGATAGGTTTCCAGGCAACGAAAAATACGCCCATAGCATTTAAGTCGTCCAGGCAGTCAAGAAGTGTTGTCGCATATTTTTTCTTTCATCAGTAATGAGAACATTTACAACACATGAAAATCTGATGAGTAATAACCGCTGAAGTAATTATCAGAAAACATTAGAATTTGTTTCGATTGTTTGTCTCATGACCTTAATTCTTTTGCTGCTGCAAGTGACTATAGTCGACTAGAAGGGTTGATGCGTACAGGTGACGTCATTTTTTACAGCTCGTGAAAGACGTTAATAAAAAAAAATTGACATGGATGTCAACACTGTAAGTGGAGGAAGTTGAACTTCTTTGTTAGCTTGAGAAAAAAAGTTTTCAATTCATCGATATATTTGAGTGATTTGAACAAAAGAATCAAGAACAATGACATCAAGTAGACGCATTTCAACCCACAAAGCTTTGAGGACTATTCTCTTAAGATTCTGACTCAGAATGTGACAATTTTGATTCCGATAAGTTTAATGTGACTTGGAATGTTTAGACCAATTGACAACAAATTCCAACAAAGAAACAGGTTTTGTTCTTAATAATTCCACTGGTATAAGCGTAAATGGGCGAGGTGCAAGTGAACAGAGCACAAGTTTGACAAGACACACACCAGATCAAACTAGAAATGGAGGCCACGAAATTTCACACAATGCCGATTGGTTACGTGCGGTGACGCCAGCTCAAAAACATGTGCAGACTTCCTGGTTATGCAAATTGAAATATCGGTTACATTAACAAATTTCATTAACAAATTTATTCACATTTTATCAATTTTTATACAGGATAACTTTGTGACACAGGTCTAAATTATAAGTATTATAGCAAAACCTCTATTCTTGGCATTCCATTTCTCCATCTTACCAGTACTTTGACATCAGGTATTGATCAGTTGCAAGCAGGTTGATTTAACCAGCAGCTGCCAGGCAGGATACACCCACATTTTGCAAGAGAAGGATAGAGAACAAGCTAAAAACAAAGATAGCTTGCCAGGCAATGAAACATACGCCCACAGCAGCTAAATCGTTCGGGCAGTCAACAAGTGTTGTCACATATTTTTACTTCTTTCGGTAATGAAACATTTATAATACACTAAAATCTGATTAAGAGTAACAACTCATGAAGTAATTATCAGAAAACCAATAGAATTTCTTTGGTTTTTATAAAGTTCTGCCCCATGCTAACGTTTAGTATACAAAACTTTTAATATCATGGATTTAACTGTTCAAGTCATAAAAATTCATTGAAAATCAATATACTTGTTCGTCTCAAGCTCATAAACTCTGTGTATCAATCTGAATAATCGGGTGATAACTTTAGCCTCTAGAGCGTCACAAGATTTTTCAAAGTGATCAAGGGCCATAACTGTGACAGTAATTATCGAAAAATCACTGAAAATGAATAGACTTCTTTGTCTCATGACCTTAAACACTGTGTATAAATTTAAAGTCAATCGAATATTAACTTTGGCCTCTAGAGCGTCCACAAAATTTTTTTGAAGTGATCAAGGGCCATAACTCTGGCAGTAATTATCAAAAATCACTGAAAATAATTAAGACTTCTTTGTCTCATGACCTTAAACACTGCGTATAAATTTAATGTCAATCAGATATTAACTTTGGCCTTTAGAGTGTCCACAAGATTTTTTGAAGTGATCAAGGGCCATAACTCTGGCAGTAATTATCGGAAATCGCTGAAAATCAATAGGCTTTTTCGCTTCATGACCTTAAACACTGTGTATAAATTTAAAGTCAATTGGATATTAACTTTGACTTCTAGAGCGTCCACAAGATTTTTCAAAGTGATAAAGGGCCATAACTCTGGCAGTAATTATCGAAAAATCGTTGAAAATCAACAGGCTTCTTTGTTTCATGACCTTAAACATTGTGCATAAATTTAGGATATTAAATTTGACCTCTAGAGCATCCACAAGATTTTTTAAAGTGATCAAGGGCCATAACTCTGGCAGTAATTATCGAAAATCGTTTCATGACCTCAAACATTGTGTATAAATTTAAAGTCAATCGGATATTAACTTTAGCCTATAGAGCGTCCACAAGATTTTTCAAAGTGATCAAGGGCCATAACTCTGGCAGTAATTATCGGAAATTGCTGAAAATCAATAGGTTTCTTCGTCTCATGACCTTAAACACTGTGTATAAATTTAAAGTCAATAGCCTCTAGAGCGTCCACAGGCTTTTTCAAAGTGATCAAGGGCCATAACTGACAGTAATAATCGGAAATCGCTGAAAATCAATAGGCTTCTTCGTCTCATGACCTTAAACACTGTATCAATTTAACGTCAATCGGATATTAACTTTAACCTCTAGAGCATCCACAAGATTTTTTGAAGTGATCAAGGGCTATAACTCTGGTAGCAATTATCGAAAATCGTCTCATGACCTTTTTCGTACTTTCAGGGGCCATAATTCAGGAAGTTACAATCTGATATGCTCGAATATCGAAAGGAACCAAGATCTTTGGGTTATAAACATGCATTTCAAGTTTCATCAATATCGGATCAAAATTGTGACCTATGGAGTGTCCACAAGCTAAAAACATGTGATTTTTCGTACAATCTGGGGCCATAATCCATGAAGTTATGGTCCGATACATGCCAATATCGAAAGGAACCGAGATCTCAGAGAGATAAAGCTATATTTCAAGTTTCGTTGAAATTGGATAAAAATAGTGACCTGTAGAGTGTCCACAAACAAATTATGGACGGACGGACAAACAGGTGCGACGACAATATACGTCCACCCCTTATTCTTTAAATGATTAACTATGCCAGGGCCTAAAATAACATGCCTTGGAGCACAAACGTGCCTCGAAATTAAAAATCCGTGCTTCGAAAATAAGAAAACCGTGCTCTGAAAAATGGTGTAGTGTTCTAAAAAAGTGTAGTCAGCAATGCCTTCTGACCCCTAATTGGGTGTTTCTTCTTGTGTTCTTGTGGTGTGGTCAGTTGCACAGATCAGATCACCTGGCGCTCACTCGCGACTACCTCAGATGAGTCGAGTGAGCGCCAGCCGCATCAGCTTACTAGTCAGGTTTTTCAGTAGGTATCCAGTCCGCTCCGCTGCCATCTTGACCGTCATTTCACTTTGACTTTGAAAAAGTTTGTTTTTGACTTATTTTCATGTATTTTCGGTGTTATCTGTGATTTTAAGTATTGAAATATGGATGGGGAACCGGAGCTCAATCCGCCGCCGTCTAAAAAGCAATGTAGGCAAGCGACATTGGGGTTTTTCCTGAAAAAAACTCCCATCCAGGGTCAAGCAACCGTAGCGGACCAAAGCGAAAGAAGAAGAAAAAGAAGACGAAACCCAGGGGAGGGGCCCGCGCCTTTAGACGAGACAGAAGGGCAGGATGAAACTCCTACTCCAACGGCTGAGCCGACAAAGCCGCACCAAACAGCTTGTCAGTCTGATTATGACTGGTTGATTAGTAAGAGTGAAAAACGCAGAGAAACTGATAAACGCCGTATAGTTAGATGTTCAACTTGTATGAAATATCCAAACATTGGTAGAATTCACTGCAAGAGAATGCCTAATATATGCACGTCTGACGGTGCCATATTCAGATCAAAGTTAGTTCAGGAACACAAAGCCTGTGAAACTAGAGAAGATCAGTTAAAAGCGGCCGCCCAACAAAAAGTTCTCGAAGCGGAAACAGCCCTCGAAAGAAGTTTCAAAGAAAAGAATCTGGAGAAAGAGTTGAAAGTCGCAAAAATGATGCCGAGTGTTTATAATGATGCAAAAAGAGGTACGTTGTCCGCCTGGTCTTTTCCGTCCCGTCAAGCGGCAATATTGATGGGAGAGAAACTCGATTTGTCTGCTCCACATGAAAACTTTAGACCGGCCGATGGCGACTTGCGTTACCTGAACCCATACAGCCATCACGAATTTCTAATGGCAATAACCAACATCTACAAAAAGATAGCTGCTGAATCCAAGCCACTTGCTGTTTCCTTGCGTGTAGATGAGGCAGTGGATAGAACCAATATCGACTACCAACATGTCATGGCAAAGATCGTTTGGGCCAATGGACATTCGTCTACTAATTTCCTGGGTTTCTCGAAAAGTGAGGAACGAGGGGCTAAAGGTCTGTTCGGATCGGTGAAGGCCGCGGTAGAGAAATCAGGACAGGGTTGGAATGAGTTTTTCCCTGAAGTTTTGTCAATAGTAACCGATGGTGAAAGCACTAATACCGGCACTCGTCATTCACTCTGGGTGTTATTGGAAAACGGGCGGGTACAAACGGATAACAGTCTCCCTCTAGTGAAAATTTGGTGCGTCTCAGCTAGCTTATAAAGACATGTTATCATCAGTAGCAGAGATAAAACACGTGCTTTCAGATTGTAAAGGCGTCGTAAAATATTACAGTGTATCCGCAGTACGCAAACAGGAGCTGTCAAACATAGCAGAAAACATGGGTCGGAAAGCGCTTAGCTATCCATCGGTGAATGATATACGCTTCCCTGAGTATTCACATACACTGATACTGTCAATTATGAGAAACTACAAGCCAATGATCGAACATTTGAAGCAGGAAAGCAAAAGTGGAGATAAAGAGGCAGCTGGATTTCTGAAAAAAATGGA